TACTTCATTCAGCTGAGCATTAAGTGCACACTTCTTCATTGACCAGAAGATATCTTCGTCAAAAAATAACTTATAAATTTCCGAGTGAGATTAATAATTTTCACATTCGAAGTCAATTTTTAATAGCAGGTTATTTTACACTATAAAATATGTTTAAAAGACATACCATTTGTGTGTATTTAGTTTGCAAATCAGACAATTGTTCTTTTAAATTCTTATTTTGCTCCACAGCTCGACTTAAAGCACTTCGTTCTGATGTAGCTGTAGCCAAAACTATATCACGATCAGATAATGAATTTTGTAGTTGTTCAACAGTTTCCTCAAATTTAGATAATTGAACAGTTAACCGATGTATCTATCATCAAAAAGATTTTTATTAAAAGAAAATGAAAAAGCAAACATATAAGTACAAATAGAACACTAAAATCAAAGCATGAGATTAAGGTTATAATACTAAAGTGATCTCCTAGATGAAAGTTACTTTAAAAAAAAATTTTCAGAATAGATGCAATCAAAATTTAATGCATCATATCTGAACACAATATTTCACATGGCTAGGAAAAAGACAGATAAAGGTCCTGGGGTTCAATGTACGGCGAAGTCGTGAGTGCACATTACCGAGAAGTCTTGAGCTAGAATGAAACAGTTATACAATTTTTCTTGACCTTTAGTAGTAGCCCAAGTGAGATCCATTAGTGACGAGTATTTGAAGGTGATTAAACGTGTTATCCAAGTAACCTTTAAAAAATCCAACCACTTAGTAAGGACAAAAACCGGTGTGAGGAACTAACACTAAGATTTAGAGTTAAAAGTTAGGGTTTTTTCAAGAAGTAGCATCAAATATAGTGTCAAAATACCAAACAGCCATAAAAGTGAATGAATTTCAAGCCATAATCCAAGACTTGATTTACTAGGTCTCATTGGTTAGTCAATAGATTAAAGTCCCGCCATCATCATCTACTACGTAGTATAAAATAAAACTGTTACTTTCAAATTATTTTCTGATAACCTGTTTAATATATACATTAAAGTGTCCTAATTTAATAATGGATTATTCGTAGTGTATGTTAAAAGGTCAGAGATTTTATTTGCGCCTACAAAAACAAGCATATTCAAATATATAGCCATTTGATTCCCCATTAATTAATTAGTAGTGTTGTGCACTGATTATGTGGGTGCCCAAGTGTTCTTGTAAGGTCGAGCGTGGTTATTTATTTACTTATTTGAACACATAAATATTCGTAAAAACGGGCACCGAATACATATGTGCAACACAACTTACTTGATTTGTGTGTGGGCTGTAATAGTGCCCGGGTGCCCAGACCGAAACAGGTAGTTTTCTTAGGAGACCACAACTGGAGCCTTCGACCTAAAGAGGTCTAATCCATAAGGCAGAAGACGAAGTCCCATGGTAGCTAGTGACCAATAATCGCTTTATACGCCATTTGTTAGCTCTCCCTTTCGAAATGCTCTCACATGGCCACGTGTATATGGCCACTGCCAGAGAATTACTACTCACTACCTTCTCGCGGCATTACTGTTTACGAAATTGAAAGGACAAGAAGCGAATGTCCATCGATTTAACCGGGCCGGTGGATATGGATAATTCACCTAAGAGAGTTGGAAAACTGTGATTCCAAACCAATGTTGCACATAGGCTCAAGGATTCTGAAGAGACAAATAGCGTATGAACCTATTGTTGGTCACCGGCTACCCATGGGACTGCATCTGCTTACATTACTCCACTGCCTTATGGATTGGACTTCTAGGTCAAGAGCTCAGAGATTCGCCTTCTAAGGAAACCACCTAATTTGTTTTGGGCACCCGTGCAGTATTCCAGTCCTCACGCAACTCGAATGATTTGTGTGGCGCATATTTATTTGATGCCTCCTCGAAAATATCTTTTCTTACAAGTGCATAGATTGGGTCTATATCGAGATATCCATTGATTATTGATTAACCTGAATACCGTGCTTCTAACAATCCTTTCTAGGTTTCGGAATTTCTTCAACCAGATTTATATCCATGGTTATCTTCACACACTGATATCAGTGATATGATATAATGTCGCCTCACTGCTGATTTATGTTCACTTATGAGTAGATAAAGCAGTTAAATTCGCCCAACGTAATATTTCTCTTAGTTGGTCCAAATCTATTTGTAAATGTCACACATTTATTCCTGTGCTGTTATGTCTTTTGGTTTGGACAGAATGGAATGAGGTGATTGTGTAAGCATTTACACTGATGAATTATATATCAAATCACTAGGTTTCGCTATTCACAGCTTCTTAGTCATAGCTGGTCAGCCACGTGCACAGAAAGTGTATGTATCCGAATTGGAGATCGTCGATCGTAACACATCCATAATGAGCTAATACTACATGTTTATAACTAATCTAAATTACAAATAAACGTATAATATGTGTGAAAAATTGAGGACATAAAATATCACCGAAATAAAAAAAATTATTGTAAAACAAGAGAAATACAGCTAGGAAAACATACTTCAACATTTGCATTTTCTAACTCTTCTGTGCGACTTTTTAACTGAGTTTCCAATACTGCTATTTGCTCCAACGATTGTTGGATAACAGGTGAAGAGTTGACATCTCGTTCTTCAACAGATGATGTTAACGGTTGAGTTTGAACAGTCAATGGAGTAGGAATTATTTGAATTGAATTCAAACGACATGAAAATTTAATAAAATGAAGGCGATCATTGATTAGACTAATGATTGATAATGTTACTTCCAGTAAACAGGATATTAGATGAAGGAAATTTTAAAAATTACATCCCCTGAAAATTTATTTCGTGTTTTGTGCTAGCGGTTAATTATGCCTTATGGCTGAAATTGTCAGAAATCAGATGAAAAGCGAGTGTCTAACAGATTAAGGTTTTGTGAACTCTGAGTATCAACTTCACACAGGTAATATATTGAAACACTCATCCTTGATGTACTCGACAATACCAAATAGAAAAGGATACTTCAAATCAAAGACAAACTTGTATTGTTGACTGTATACCACTGAATGTAGCAACTTAATAATTTTAATTAATAGACTAACGACTAAAGGTTCAAGCTAATCAGAGTACATAATTGGCCGTTGAGTGAAATAAAACATATTTCTACTGCCTTACTTTAATTTCAGACAACTGTGGTATAGACAAGATGTCCCTTAAAGCTAGTAAAAAGTATAGAAACTGTAAAACCATTTAATCACAAGAAAACAGAAGTCATAGATACTATTAGCATTAAATAATGAATCTATTTTAAAAAAAACAATATCTTATATGCTGGAAATTCTGAGTAAGATATATGTTAACAAGTCATAGTTTGGATTAATGCCTGTGTCCATGCAGGATGATATTGAGGTGTGGGGTTTATTGACATATCTTTTAGTGGATCAGCGCTAGATAGACAAAGAAGACTCTAGAATATTCTTTGATATAAATCCACTAACGATTTTCCCACTGTGATTGTTACTCCCATTCAAATTTTTTTACTTGGAAAATAATCTCACTCCAGTTCAACCATGCGCTGATTTGGAGACTAGTAAAGTGAAGTAAAGTGTCCGAAAAATACTAAGTAATTAGAGTAGCTTGGTCGTATATAGAAAGATCTCAACAATATATTTACCAATTGACGATACTATAAGCCTATATCAAATGAAGTGATTCAGATGTATCATTTACGATCAACAGTTGTATCTACTTATATATGCTATGTTGTAATTAATATAACGATACGGTTACACAAAAGAATTAATAATGATCAGAGCAAGACGAAGTATTATTCAATAAAATCATTTACCATCGGTTTGATTCAACTAAAGAGTTAATCTAAGTTTTTTTGATCAAGGTCTATGAGACAATCATCAACAACAGACATGATTTATCATCGATATTAAAAGCACAAACGTGTGTTACATTTGACTTTATCATGATAATACTATGCAGATTAAACGGAATAACTCGAGTTAACAACAACTAAGAATTCCTCCTTAACCTGATGGTTTACACTTACTTAGACGCCTCAATCTAACAAATAATGATTACATGGATTTATGCATCATGTTAGATTAATCACCTTTAAATTTCCTTTAATTTACTCCCACATTAGATAATATATTATTTAGGTATGTGAGTTCGATTCCTGCATGAGAGGTCGCGAATGTGCATTGTTGGGGAGTCCTATACTAAGACGAAACAGCCATTCAGTGGTTTCAGGTTTTCGATGGTGGTCTAAGATCGGTTTATGCTTATAATTAAATCTAATCTTCTCATACTGATAATAGTCATTTTATTCATCATTAGAATTCATGTTAATTTTCCTCTTACGCTAAATTTTATTGATTTTAGTGATTGAAAATATTCAGTGACTAACTTTGACAGATCTCATGTCCAATTGATCTGTCTGGTAATTTGAAATAATCTCGAGTGATGCCAGAGTTAGGACGCTAGTTATTACTTCCTACTGCCTGCACCGTGAACGGATACTATGTTCCGGGGCGCTAAGAAAGAGAATTGTAACAAGTAGTCTCATCGACCTAAGAACGTGACTGTAGTAACCAGGATAAAACTGGTTGACGCTAGAAACAACCAGGCTTTTGAGAGTAGTTTTGGACGAACTAGCTCTGTACTCTCAAGGCCTTACCGAAGGCAAAATATAGGGAAGGGTGATGTGATAGTTTTTGTGACGATGATTTTACACCCTCTCCTGACATAGTAAAAACGAATAATCACAGTAAATGCCAGCTGTCTAGTGAGAACACCTTAATGTAACCACATACTTGTACAGTAGGCAATATGACCTAGACCACACACCACCCAAAATCTATAGACCAATGTAATAATAACAATGAAAAATGCTTAACAATAATAACGAAACATTGAATGCAACTAACTTAAATCATTGATTTCATCATCTTTTTCACGTAATTGTCGACTAACTGATTCCAATGACAATTCCATTTCTTGTTTTAATTTATTTGTTTCAGATAATTGAGAACGTAACTCATTTGCCTGTTGTTCAACCTGAACACATAGAGAAAAACAAACAAATAAACATATTGGTTGCCTAATCTAATCAACTTATTTCATAGCTTGCAACATTATAGAGTAACAAATTTAGCTAAATGTGTAATAGCATGAACAAAGCTGATCTTTCCCAACTTGAATCATATCAAGATAGTAGAAGTAGTAGTAGTAGTATATACCCAGAGTGGTATTTGTGTGTCAAAACTACCATGCAAATTCTAGGCTAACTGTAAATTTTCAATCATCCAATGTTTTATTTCGTTATTACTTTTGATACGGCGACATTCTCAAAGTGACCAGTGCGTAGTGCAACAATTACGTTTACTTCTAGAACATTACTAATCACGCATAACTGTTTCTTCCAATAACTATACTTTTCCACATTATGTCACGGTTAAGTTAGCCAATATTACTACTTGATAAGATTCACCAATATGAATCGTGTAATATTTCGCCATAGAATAACGTTCTATGTTTCATTCAATAAAACCCTTCAACTGGCAAGATTAACTTTGAGTTGAGGCCTAGATAATTTTATTGGTCCAGAACGTACCTATAATTCATATATCAAGTCCTTACAGCTCAAACATTCACCAGTTTACAAACCTGAATTATGAGACTGTAGTGTACCTCACATAAGAATTAACACTGAATACAATGATGCTTTGTGCCTTATACATCATCAAACCAATAAATCGCAAACACAATGTACCAAAGATCTTAGCCCCGACTATTACTATATATTATAAAACAATAGCATACAACAAAATTTTAGAAATGTAATTGCAATTATAATCCATATGTTAACAAATATTATGTCGTGTTGGCACTTCTTTGTTACAACAAAATAAGCAAAGTTCAAAATTGAGAAATACCATAAATGGCTGGAGTGAGATCTTAATTAAGTGGTACAAAATATGAAAAAGACCTCAAGAGAAAAAAGATATTAAACAAACCTGTGCAACGTAATTATGATACTGAGAATCTAACCGTTTCTTTTCTGTATCAATCGAAGATAATGACAATTCAAGCAACTTCACTCGATTCTGTAGATCAGCACGTTCTGATAACCACTCTTCTTTTTCTTTGCAATATTTCTTATCTTCCGAACACATTAAACTATCTGTAGTACTCCTTAATTGATTAGCATAAATCTTAATAGACAAAAGCCAGAAAACAAATATCAAAATGTTATTTGGTAACAATAAGAAGAGAAAATGTTTCTGTGTCAAAGTAAATTGAAACTATAGTCTAGTGATCTAGTCCATTAACAATTAAATCAAGCTGCCTGATTTTTAAAAAAAATTTAGTTGAGGAGATAGATCCAAAAACATCGTTAGTCAGTATACTGTAGTTGAAGCGATGGTTTGGTGATGACAGGCCTATCCGTTTTCAATCAAAAGCTTGAATAAGACTCCATCTAATTCAGTTTCTAACAACCAGACTGCATCACCAGCCCTCACACAAAGAGTGGTTCAAAGACGAGTGCAAAAAAGTAAATGTATATTTTAAACATATTTTATGACAAATGAATTGAAAATTAACCTATTTTATTACCGATAACAAATTATCAAGTCTCTCACTGCAAAATTGGAAACATCACTAACAGTTATTGAACCGAAACGAATCGTTAGTCAGTAGCATAGTACACACAGCTTGGCATCGATGTGTATCTGTACAAGCTACCACACTTGAGAGTAGCACAGTAAGAGAGGAAATTAATTTATAGGATGAAAGAGAGAGAAACGAAAATAATATCAAGTGTACATAAAACCGAACATGGAAAACAGCTTAAAACGCGCAATTGAGTTCACATCTAAGAAGAACGAACCGAATTGTGCTACTTGGATCATTTTCGGAACATAACACTCAACGTTTCGAACTATAACTTACAGCAACCTCGTGGGTTTCAAATTCAACCCTCCTAGGTGAATCAACGGTATCCACCAACTCGGTTAAAGCGACGGACATTCGCATTTCATCCCCTCACATTCATCGAACACCACCGCTAACATATTTGAATTAGCATTTTGTATATGTCATATTACAAAGTGGAAAGTTACGTTTACTGTTCAGTTGTTTTGACTTGTTATCTCGATTCATTTTTAAGGTTTGAATTATTAATCCGATATTGACAATTGGGCTATACTGTACCACTGTGTATATCATCACTAACCAATTATCATTCTACTAATCATTTCATTAATTTTAAATCACACGGATTAATCATGTGGTAGATAGTTTGGGCTCAAACTGATTCGACAAAACTGAGAGAGAATCATTTGAATGACGCAGAATATGTTTGACTCAATTACTAACTAACTGACAAGAAAAGTAGAAAGATAAGGACTGTGATAAAAAATATTTCTGGTCACTTTTATACAGTTCATAAATGTTCATGTCCTTCTATTTACCACTAGTTAACAATGTAATCATATTGTACAACAAAGCAATCGGCAGAAGGAACAAATGTTTAATGAGAGAAATTACAAAGTGTTTATACAGTACGTATACATAGCCTTTGATAATCTATTTGCATCTTGCGGCGTTCTGCAATCCTAACTATCTTCTCGTCTAGTCTTCAGGTGTTCTGCCTACGCCGTGCTTTTGATATACTGAAACTTATCCCCGCTACATACTGCTTAGTCATTCTTGTGAGTAGCATCCACAATAATATCAATTAAACTGGAGAGAAGCCAGTTCACGTTGATCTGGTTAACACTGAACTAAAGCGTGTTTATCACACAAAACCCAAAACACTCTACTTTTGAAAATTAACGCAGTCAACTAAAATAATCATTTATAAATAACACACTTGTGATAATTCAAGTTGCTGTTTTAATTCATTTAAACTTATTCCAGTTTGAGCTAATTCACATGATTTAGCTGTTAATCGAGACCTCGTTTCAGCTAATTCATCTTCGACATCTCGGCGTGCCACTTTTTCACGCTTTATTTCCCCTTGAAGGCATTTAATCTAGGTGGGAATAAATAGAGAAGAGGAAAGGATGGTAAGAATTATTGTAAACAAAATGTTTCCTGAAGTTCTCTATTAAATAACCGAAAATTCCTAATAAGCTGTAACTGTAAGTATATAATACAACTCATTTGATGTATTTGGGACGTATATTATGCCTAATCATCACCTATGATGATGATGCGCGATAATGGCGGTACGCGCAAGATAGAATAAGGCTAGTAGTGTCCAAACCAAGACGAGATATCAATCCCTGAAGTTATCAGATGTTTGTTTAAGCCATTCCTGTGAATACAGACTACTTGGTTGCAGTCCATGCGATTACTGTGGCCAGTGGCTGGAGATATTGTGTGACATAGGATTAGGATCAGTCACAATGACACAGATGCACACCCCTCTTGCCTTTCTGTAGATTCAGAGTCCCAACATTCCTTCATACCTAAGTACATTCTGTTTTTACGAACTATACTCTCAATCTTTGGTTTTCTTATCATCAAATTTACCACTTTTTCAGTTTCTTTTGCCGTGCTAATATGGTATGGCAATTCGGGTTAACGTACACTTGTCCCAGGTTCTACATTAATTATGACTGATTTTACCAAGTGCGGGTTTTGTACTTGACCCAAACCTTTGTCAAGTAAGAGCTAATGATACTATACCCCAGTTGCCTAAACAAAAGTAGTTAGAGAGGGATTTGTAACCGTCGATCTTCTGGGTGAAATCTATATCTTTCAAACATTAAGCAACCCTTCCACCTGGTAGACAGCAAAGCCAATCACAAATCCAGTACTTTAAACAGCTTTGAGAAGGTTAACAATGTATAACTTAACCAGGTAGTATGTATATGCTACTCTTGTTTCTAATGTGTTTTATTTTTAAATGTTACATTTTTATAAATTCTTTATAATGAGAGTGACCAGTAGATATGTAAGTAACAGTGGATTATTTTATTTTATTTTATTTTAACACATAGATATTGGTACAAGGAGGCACCAAATACATATGCGCCACACGAATCTCATTTGATAAGTATGAGGGCTGTGATACTGCCCGGGTGCCCAAACCGAGGCAGGTGGTTTTGTTAGGGAGCCACACCCCGAGCCTTCGACCGGAATGTCTGATCCACAAGGCAGTGGAGCATCGTGAGGAGATGCAGTCCCATGGTAGCCGGTGACCAACGATTGGTTCATACGCCATTTGTTCCTTCAGGATACTGGAGCCCATGTGCACCATTGGTTAGGGATCCGGTTAAAGCGCCGGACATTCGCTTTTCGTCCTCTCATTTTCGTAAACAACACCCCGCCACGAGAAGGCAGTGAGTAGGACTTCCCTGGCAGAGGCTATATACGCGTGGCCATGTGAGAGCATTTCGAGAGGGAGAGCGGACTCTCCCCACTCTCGGCCGTACCAGGGCATTTGGGGGCAAGTATCAATGGAATCAAGGATGAGAGTTATATCCAATGTAGAACAAAATAAGGTAGATATAATTGTATCTGAATCCTGATTTTCATACAGATACGTATAACTTCAAATGCAATAGAATCAGCAACAGGACTACTCAGCAATGAGAACCACTAACATATTCTTAATAGATATACTGTCATTGCAAATGAGTTAAAATATCCCACTGCTAATGCTTGTGAATCCAAGTAATGACGAAGAATCCGTTGTTCAAGGAACCATATGGTAACCAGATACAGACTTATTCAGTCTTTTACATGAATAAAAAAGGTGAAATTCCCGAAAACTAATAAAATAACGAGTATATCTCTATAAAATAAATGGTAAAACTACAGCACATTAGCGAACGACCTTAAGATGGCAGCTCGTTTTAAACAACCATGGAACAGCAAATATAACCGAAGGAATAATAATGCAAATAATATATTGTTTTTATGTGACTAGTGAATGTTTTTAGGTTTGCTATTAGTCTTAATCCGTTTGAGTTCAGAGTTAAGGTCATATTTAAAAGTTTGGAACTATGGTAAGTTAATAAAAAACACTAATCTCAATCTTAACACATATGTTCGATATATATCACTACAGATTGAAACATGAGCTAGAAACTGGAAGTCACTTTCTCAATTCTAATTAGTTCGATAG